CTGGAGGAATTCTTCCCTTTTACCCCATAAATAATAAAATACCAGGTCGCTTTCTTGTAAATATTGTATTTATCTTTCGGAGGCAAGCGTTGAATAAAAGACATTCTCCCTGCAAAGATACAAACAAAATTATAATGATTATAACAGTAGGTACTAATCATTTATAATCAATTTTTGGGGTATTTGCTTTTGCGTGTTTATACCCATTTGCAGAAGAAAATACGAATATTTGCATGAATAATATCGAAATATGTTCAATAAGGAAATAAAAGATCAACAAAAACTTTAACAATGAGAAATAAATAACTCTATTTGAAATAAATTCAATGAAGCATTAACTGTAAATAGAACGTTAATAGAAATTTATAATAATTGGAGAATGAATTTAATCATACAAATTAATTATTGCACATTTATTCATAATATTCGAGTATATCATACACCTGATTTTGTTTTTTTTTTAATAAACTTTTATCATTTTTTTTACTTTTGTTATAAATTGAATCTTTTGTTATAAATTGAATCTTTTGTTATAAATTGAAAATTATATAAAGGCAAAGTGAACACAAGTATACCGGGTGCGTCTTAAAAGTGGCTCACCCCTAAAACTTTTTTATTTTTTCAGATAAAGAAACGAGATTTGATATATCAGTATATGACATAAATTAGGATTGATTGACGTATTCAATTGTTTTTGGTCACTTCCTGTTTCACCGGAAATGACTACAACTTTTGATTTTTAAATGGCATCATCGGTATTTTTTTACTTTATTCGATAGAAAATGACATTCTGAATAGAATGAAATATCATATGTCAGCTTTTGAGATTGTCGCTTAATAAAAAATAGTATTTTAAAATTCAATCTAGAGTGCCATGGGTATGTTAAAAACACTAATTCTTAGTCAAGGAGCCTTGAAAAAATAGATTTGATCGTCTAATGTTTTTAGTGTCTTGTCCTCGCCAGTTAGAAAATGGTCAAATCGTATTTTTAATCATATCTCAATTTTTTCAAATTGCACCGGGGTGGCTCAGCATATTTGCAAAAAGCAGTTTTTTGCAAATAATTTGATACCACACACTTGGTATTTCGTTACCAACCGCAACTTATAATTTCAAATAAATCATATGCGAAAATATCGAGTGTTATTTTCTATCGAATAAAGTAAAAAAATACAGAGTGTGCCATTTGAGAATCAAAAGTTATAGTCATTTCCGGTAAAACAGGAAGTGACCGAAAACAATTGAATACGACAATCAATCCTAATCTATGTCATATACTAACGTACCAAATCTGATTTTTTTATCAGAAAAAATAAAAAAGTTAGAGGGGTGACCCACTTTTGAGATGCACCCGGTATATTTAATTAAATATAACTTTATTATTTAATGTTAAAAAAAGATTGCATGCCAAAAGTGAATAAAAATATGTTCTCAACAAAGATAAAAACAAAATTATAACGATTTGATAAGCGGTATTAAACATTTATAATTGTTCGATTTAGCGTTCTATGTATTTATTTGTGCTCAATTTCAGGAGAAAATGTCAATATTTGAATATTGTAAGGGATAATTTGTTCCATAAGTAAATAAAAGATCAAAAAGAATTTTAACGTTTACAAAAAATAAATTTATTTGAAAATTAATGAAGTATTAATTAAAGTAAAATATATTTATAATAATGTATTATAAGTTTTCAGCGTTTTTATTCATAACAGTTGTGTGTATGATACATTTCTTTATGTCTGTTGAATAATTTACTAAACTTTTCAAATAATATTAGTCTCGATATTAGTAATAATAATTAACTGAACAAAATGAAATAATATAATTAATTGGCTTCTATGAAAATTTATTAATAATTAAATAAAAATCTTTATACTCAACTATGTTATTAAGTGGTTTTAATGCTTTAGTACATACAATATCTATCGGTTTATTTATGACATTATAGCATTAAACACCATTAGCTGACACGATTGTATTTCAAAATAAGGCTGAAAGGTATGTGCTTACCCTGTTAGATTTAATCCGAATTAATATACACCAGTGTGAGCTTGCCCCGCTTACTAATTGGGCGAAACCAGAACTACCCCTCATTTTGTTTTGGTGGTAATGACGTAATTCTAACGTCAACTACTTTTATATTCCAAGTTAGTTAGAATATTACAGGCGGCGCATAATGCTATACTTGTTTTCTTATCTTAATTATTCATTTCTTATCAAGCACAAATTATTAATAACGGTTAAAGTAATTAAAATCCAAGAAATAGGAATTGTTCAATGAATTGAAGTTAATTTTTAAAATATGATTTACATTTTACAATCAATTTAGATTCATATTCGATGTACATTTTTTAAAATATATTTGTTTGTATAGTTTTTGTTGTGAAATATCGACTAATGGAAATTCTGTGTTATAAATTTCAGCATAAATATTTAATATAGTGTGGAACAATACGCCTCTGTTGCATTTGCAGCAACTTTAGTCATAAATAAGTTATTACCTATGCATCGAAACCAATTTAAATTTAATGTAATTTATAATTATTAATATTAAATATATTAAATAAAAGCACGTACTGTAAACTTAGTGCATTAATTTATAACAATATTTTATTGAATTTATTTGTACGATATATGAACGTACCTGCTTGAAGTTTTTTATTACACCGCGTATTTTTTGTTATTGTACAAATTAATAAATATACTTTATTTGGCTATAAAAAAAGTAATAATAATATGTTTTACAAACAAATAAGTAATACAAATAAATGTGTTTTTATAACCATTATATTTTCAATAAAAATTTTAATGTATTTTTTTAAACAAGTAATAAATAAAACTCAAGATACTAAACAAAATTATACACAAATAGTATATGATAATTGTATAAATATTTCATAATTATATAAATTATATAAAATTTCTTTTTCTTTCTAAATATTAAAGGCGGGTGGCCACTGCGAGCGAAACTAAACGAAAATATATGAACGAAGATTCAAATCGTAGTTTAGTTTCGCTCGTTTCGTTCGTGACATGTTCTAGCGAATTTTTCGCAGCGATTAGTTCTATGACAGCAGAGATACAATACGAAAACGCAGCTACTACTAAGCAAAAATCGTTCCCAGTGTCCGATGAAACTTATGTTCGTTTAGTTACCGTTCCTTTCTATATTCTTAGCTTAGTTTAGTTTCGCTCGCAGTGGCCGCCTGCCTTAATTGTGTGTAAAACTGTGATCAAATTTCAGTTTACAGTGTTAAAAATTAATAAAAGAAAGATTATAATATTATATTATTACTAGTTTAAAATGATCAGTAGAACTAGACCGAATAGGACATTTCAATTTTTGCAGTTTTGTTTCTTGGTTAGATTTTTTTTATTTATGTTTTTTATTAAAAAAGTTAGCATATGTACTATGTTTTTTATTAAAAAAGATAGCATTATGTACCGCCTTGCTCACTTACATTGTGACCTATAGAGAGCCAATTTTTCTTGTTAATTGTTTTACACAGTTTTTTTTCTTTTTATATATTTCTGACAAGCTTGTCAATAATTCATATCATTTTCAAATGTTAAAAAGGATAAAAAAATGTTCATCAAATTGTTGATAGAAAGTTTTATGATATTTTAGTTTAAACGTATGTCGTTTTCGGTCGAAATCATGTATTCCCCTGCTAGATAATCAATACCTCTATGACAGGTTTATTATTGCAAACATCTAAGGTTAAACAATCAAACTTTCTAGATCAAAATACTTCTTATATGCAAAAAGTAACTGGGTTTACATGTATTTCTCTTTACCTATAAACAAATTTGCCTTACCAATAAGAAAATCACATTTATAGATTTAAGGGAATAGTTAAAATATACAGGGTAAGTTTTTTACGATGTTTTCTATGGGTATCTCGGAAACTACTTTAACTAAACGGGGAAAGAATTGCAGTTTTGTGAGAACAGACATATACGCCTTTCGGATTTTTAAAACTTTTATGTCATGACTTTATAAAAAGCGTAATTTTCAAAAAATTTGAAATGTTCAAAAATCCATTGTTTTGAGTACATAAAATGCATCTTTTTAAAACTGAATTACAAGTTTTTCTCGCAGAACAAAGGTCGTCATTATTAAACTTCTCCTGTAGCAACTTTTCGAATGCCTCTCTTGATTCGTAAGTTCTCTTGTAACCTTGTTGTTAACCATACCGCATAGAAAAAGCTAAAACGTATAGGTCATGTTACCGAGGAGATCCGTGCAATTGGTCCACCTCTTCCTATCTCTCAGTTGCATAATTATGATATAAATAAATTTTAACATTTTTTTATTATGAGGGGTTTGACATCTCTGAGAGCAACGACGATTGAAATTGTTTTCATGATTAAGTAAAATTGTTTAAAAAAGATAAGAATTGGCTTTTATGATAGCCATGGCCAACTGTGGACGCCAACTATGATTTTCATTTAAAAAAACTTATATTTCTGTCATATGTTAAAAATTTGTAATTATCTACAACATTTATCTGAAAACTTTTTGTCTAAAATAGATTATAATGGAATTAGGAGCATTTTTAAGATAGCCGAAATTTGTTTTTTCGAAATATCTAGTAAGCCATAAACTTTTTCAAAAATCCGAAAGGTGCCTATATGTTTGTCCGCACAAAACTGCAATTCTTTCCCCGTTTAACCGACTCTCTAGCTCTAGTAGTTTCCGAGATATCCATAGAGAACATCATAGAAAACTAACCCTGTATACAAAATCTGTACTAATTTTATTATGTAACCTTTGAGTTATTAACATACTAATTTGATCACTTAAATATCCATTTACACGACTTGTAGCAAACCTGTTAAAAAAAAATATAAAACGAAATAAAATAATTAAGAAATCATCTCACTTAATACGGAATCTATGGGTGACACTGTAGCTGCTACAACCTCCCCGTATATACTTCATTTTTGTTATGTTACTTCACCAATCACACTTTTTGTGGGCAATATTTTGCAGCAGGGCGTAAGGTTTGACCCCGACATGCCGCAGACCATCCGGCTGGAGTTTGCTAAAAGTAACACGAAGGTTAGCAAGCCCAAACAGCAAGCTGCTAACTCAGCCAACACGCACCCAACTTTGATGCACCCCCTCACAGGACGTAAGTACACCGCCTCTACGATTCGTCATCAAACTAATACAAGCAGACTAACTATTTTAGTACTACTAGTACTGTTGGCTAGTACTACTTGCTAATAAAGCTAAGGAACAATATGCCTCCTAGATCATTTAAACTTGAGATGTTTTAGATGTCCTTTTTAGATTTAAATTAATATTTTCTTTTTCGTATTTATTTTTTAATGCAATACTAAATAATAAATGCCAGGTTTTTCAAAAATTGACTTTTTTAAAGCTGCAAAACCAAAGGCAGAAATTTTTGTTTTTATAATGAATATAGTGTGTAGTATAAATTTATTGATGCATTATTCCTTTATTCAGATAAATCCATAGTTACTAAATACCATACCATTTTTATAAAGAAATGTCTTTAAATATGGTAGATAATAATTCAGTATTGAAACTAAAGGAATTTTGATAAATATTACAATTATTATAAACATAATAAATATTAGAAAATATTAGTCATTTTTCAGATATTTTTTCGTTGTTATAAATCTAAAATATAAAGTATATTTAAGTTTATATACAACAATTTATCTAAGTACAGAGCTAGAGAGTCCAATCTTGAAAGTATAGTGTGATTTCTTGTAAATATATACCATATACAACCGCTCGGCTACACACTAAAACTTGTCTAATGCCACTTAGTGGAAATGTAGCGTCTTGAAAGCAATACACTTTAAAGGAGCACTTTCGTGTCTGCTTATGTGAAATTAATTACCGTACTACTAAAAAGTGTTTAAAAATAAATACACAAATGGTCAATATACAGCATATTACCCATTACGCTATCTTGTTGCAGATAATAATTTTTAATAATAAAGTTATCTTAATGAGGTGAAGTATAAATCATTAAAATAGTTTGCTGTAATATAATAATCGATAGTATAAAATTACCACAGGGAAGCTTATTGCATATACTGTGTATGAAAAACGTTTATATTTAATTTCTCAGAACTTCTTATTATTGATAAAAATTTCTACAACCCAGCACTCTGCTGATAATTAAAAATGTATTTAATATTTTTCGATATAGAGGGAAGCTTCAGATATTTGACATTTATTCAAGAGTTAATTGATGCAATTTATCTGTAACACTTCTAAAATTTAGCTATAAACTTTTATTGCATATACAATGTGTGAAAAAGTATTATTTTAAAATTCTTAGAATCCTATATTCTTGGTAAAAGTCCCTAAAACCCAAGAAATTACTAAATATTTTTGGATATAAAAGGAAACTTAGGAAATTTGAAATTCCTTTAAGAATTAGGTGAACTAATATTCTATATGTCAAAATTAAGAATATAATTTATTTAAAACCTTATAGTTGATCTAATTATATTATTTTTTTCATAGAAAAAGAGATCTCTTAAATACAGGGTCGTCTGAATTGTATTGGGAAACTTCGACAGTTTATTCTGCAAATAAAAATAAGTAAAAAAGTTCGGATAAATTTGTCCGAAAATGCGTCGTTTCGGAGATACAGGATGTAGAAGTTTCATTTTTATTTCGGCGTTTTTCAATTAAATTCTGTACTTAATAATTAGTCGATATTTGGCAAAAAATTGGTGTCTGGGTATTTTTTAACATGAAATATTTCATGTCAAAATGAATCATATTGACATTTCTATGTCAATATGATTTCTACTTATACAAAGCACCACCTGCCTGTTTTTAACTGTTAACCGTTCCTGTATAAAACTACTGTCATTTTTAGGTAAAAAAGGTCTCTTGGTAAAAGCTCTACGAGCAACCGTTCTCAAGCTATTCAGAATGGAAATAGTCAATACATATAATTATCATATATTGACAAAAACATGTTGAGTAAATAGTCATTTGGATAATTAGTTATTTGAAATAACTATCTACTCAATACTAATAACTTATTTGACTGAAATGATAAATTGGGAACTTTTTTAATTAATCATAATTTTTTCTTCGAAAAAGTACAAGCAACCAAACCAAACCAACTCAAAACAGTTAAAAAATATTTAGGTGGCGCCCTCTGCATATAAAATCATATTGACATCAAAATAAACTTTTAAATTTCCCATATCAAAAAGTACCCAGAGACGAATTTTCAACCGAATATCGACGTTAGTTTATAAATTACTTGAAAAAAAATGAAATAAAAATGAAACTTCTACACCCTCTGTATCTCCGAAACTAAGCATTTTAGGTTATACATTTATACGAACTTTTTTACTTATTTTTTTTTCTGTAGAATATATTGCCGAAGTTTCCCGAATACAATTCGAACCATCCTGTATATTAATCTTCAATAAATACTCTCGATATAACTTGTACAGATTAGATAAGTGACACTTTTTATAGAATATAATCAGGAAAACTTAAAGCAGTAGTAGTTTTAAATGATATTTAGTAAGAGGCATATTGTTCTTTATTTCTGCTCTTATCACTGCCTATGGCACATATCCACACTCCTATATACCCCAAAGTTACACACACATCACATATAAATTTTCCAAGCTGTAGCTTCCAAAACTTTCTATTTACTGTAGAGTTTTCCATTTAATATAGTTACTTTCGTGAAAACAATTATTTTAGGGTAAAAGTGTACGAAAGAAGGATTTATCATAAGCTGATAAATTGTGAAAAGTTTAATGTAGCAACACAGATTTTGCGTTTGAATTTAAAACTAACTAAAGTTTGATTAAAAAATATATACCTATTAAATTTAATTACAATGGTTTATTAAAAAAAATTAAATTAATTTAATAATTAAATTTTAAATTAATAACTTATTGATTATTTCTTTATTTAAAACTGAATTTATCATATGAAAATGCAAAGTTAATAAATATATTTATAATGACATTACACACATATTTAGATATTATACCGTATAATCGAAAAAAAACGGCGTCAGCGATGGATATGAAATGAAGATCGCTGTCATTTTATGTGACATGGGAAATGTTATAGATCGTCATTTCCCAGCCAACTGGACGCCGTTTTTTTTTCGATCATACGGTAGTTAGAGTAGTGTATTTTAGTTAAACTAAAACATGATATAAACTAATATATGACTGATTTTACAGCACAAATAACAAAACAATGGACTAAAAATAAAAAGCCGTTATTATTAAAATGAATAATGTTAGACTTATTTGTTAACTAAATTTAAATGATCTAAATCCTGATTATAAAGCAGGATTTAAAATATTCTCAAAATATTTCATTTTATATTTTAATTGTTTTTTTTTCTTCTTCTTTCCACTACGGAGGAGGATGCTTCTTGAAACGTTAAGTACTTTCTAAAATTTTAATTTTGGTTCAAGTAAAGGGACTCTAAGAGCTTTGTCTTTATAGATTTTTAACCCAATCGCCGTTTTAATAGAGGAATAAATATTTTAATTTTTAAGTGTGGATTTTACTGTTTGTCAAAAGTAGTTTGTCAAGAGTTGCAATTTTGCAATAATTATGCTCAGAAGAGTTACAAACAAGAAATTTATAAAGTTTTTTTACTTTAATTAATTGTTTATTGTATTTAATTAAATGTTATATAGAGTGTTTATAAAATATAAAAAAATCAAGTATTTCAAATAAAACCTTCATTTCTGTTATTTTATTCAGCGTCAAAAATAGAAGCAACTTTGTATAAAGGTATCTATATCTATATACAAGAGTTTTCGGAGTAATAATTTGCACGTTAACTTTTTCCTCTGTTGAAATGCTATTTTCTATAGGCATATGAATAACAGTTATACAGGGTGAGTCTTAAATAGGTGCAAATATTTTCAGAGCTGGTAGATCTCAATAAAAGAAACATATTTTCTCTTTACCGTTTTTCAAATATGTCCCGAGATATTTTACATTGACAATCTAAAAAATGATTTTTCGCTTAAATTTTGAGAACAACTGGATCTCTTCTGGATTTTCTTTCTTGCAAACCTTGTACTACCCTTAAAAATATTTACACTTATTTAAGACTCAACCTGTATATCGCTGATGAACCATAATTGTAAACAATCATATGTACTCGTCCGGTTAAATTATTCAAACAATGAATTTTTCACTCACTTTTATGGCTAGTTATAGTATCTTATTTATTCACTTGCCTAGAGGAAGTAACATTTTCGTAGTGAAAAAAAAATCATTAAAATATCTGAAAACTGTTTTATTTATGTGTAGAAGACTTTCTACAAAGTAGCCTTTATTTTTGAAGCTAAATGAAATAAAAAAAAAGACCAAAAATAGAGGTTTCAATTTAAATTGGTATAAAAATACAAAAATTTAGTCACTTTTTAAACAGTGATCCAAAGTATTGAAATAGTTTTCTGTTCTGGTTCTATTGGTTTGGTTTGCAGCAAATTTAAGTAATTCAAATATTTATCAGCTGTTATCACAAGCCTTAGAACACACGGAAAAATAATATTATGAATATATTTCTAATGATAAAATAAATCAGATTTCTGTAATAGTGAGACTAAACAAAACGAGATGAAAAATAAATAGATTTAATCTGAAGATATTCCAATTTAACTTTTTAATAAGCCTCTCAAAATAAATAAAAAATATAGGTTATGTTACGTACTCGTAATAAAGTTTGATAATAAAACTCATATTTAAATTTTATTAACTTGTTTTATTCCAATTTTTTTTATAAAAATAACATTATAATAAATCTGAAATTAGTAGTAAAAAGATCTATATATTTTTTAAATTTAAAAGTTAAAATGTACCTGAATATGGGCTTATCATATTGATCCATATTTTTTGTTACTTCCTGGTTAACAGCATTTTAAAATCGTCCGACGTTTGATTTTGATATTTAATAAATAATTGAACTGTGCTCAAAAATGCAATTTTGTATTGATTAAAAGTTATTTTGCAGATTGTGTTCAATTTCTAAACTTTTTTGAAAGCCGGGACGAAAATAAGCCACAACCATGTAAGTACTCCTTTTCTACCGGGTGTTTTACAAAATTGGCTCACCTCTAAAACTTTTTATTTTTTCAGATAAAAAAAACAGATTTGTCACGTTAGTTTATGACATAAATCAGGCTTGATTGACGTATTCAATTGTTTTCGGTCACTTTCTGTTTCTCCGTAAATGACTACAACTTTTGATTTTTAAATGATACCTTCGATATTTTTTTCCTTTATTCGATAGGAAATGACACTCTGAATGGAATGACATATCATATGTCAACTTTTGACATTTTCGCATATGGTTTATTTCAAATTGTAAAATGCAGTTCATAACGACAATTTGACTCATGAAATACCAGTGTGTGATATCAAATTATTCGTAAAAAAAGCTTTTTCTAAATATGCTAATGAGCCACCCTGGTTTTATTTAAGAAAATTGAGATATGATTAAAAATATGATTTAGGCATATTTTAACCGGCTAGGACAATACACGATGTTTTTCGTGTATGTAGACGATCAAATCTATTTTTCCCAGGCTGCTTGATTAAAAATTACTATTTTTAACACAGCCACGGCACTCTAGACTCTAGATTGAAATTTAAAATACGATTTTTCCTTAAGCGAAAATGTCAAAAGTTGAGAGAGTGTCATTTCCTATCGAATAAAGTAAAGGGGGTGCCATTTAAACATCAAAAGTCAACTACACCAAAAACAATTGAATACGTCAATCAATCCTAATTTATATCATATACTAAAATACCAAATATCGTTTTTTATCTGAAAAAAAAATACAGGGGCGAGCCACTTTTGAAAAACACTCGATATATTGAATACTATAGATTTATTGAAAATTATTATGTTTTTTACAATGAAAAATATGTCGATTTCACAAATAAAGTCAAAAATTGTAAATTTAGAATAAGAAAAAGAAAACTCAAAAAAACACGTCAATAAAATGACATTCCAGAGGTACCAATCACTGGCCCTAAAATCCCCTAACAAAGTTTTGTCGACTATTTCAATCATTGTGTATCGCTTCGTATTTTTTTTAGTGTAATTTTTATCATAATTTTATGAGCATACTGTAAAATATTTAATCTATAAGTTTTTTCAAAAAGTTTAAGTAGACTAAAACCTTTAAAAGACAAACAATATAATTTTATAAAATAATGCATCAAGGCCAAAAAATGTTAATTCGCTTCTGCTCTGCCTTGTGATTTTTGATATAAAATTAAAAATATTTCAAAGAGAGTATGTTAAATTTAGGTATTTTAGAACATTATATTCAAAGTGTGTTTAAAATGTGTGTAGAATCTACAAAGCCTAAAATACATAGATAGTTGTATTAAAAATTAGAAAACTGGTAACCAGTAAGGGGAAGAAACTATTTTAAAAAGAAACTAAACGTAGCAATATACGTATTCTAAAAAATAGAAAATTAGTCCAAAATAGAAAATTTTATAATGATTATGTCTTGTGAAAATCCCTCTTCGGCAAATAACATTATAAAGCGTCAAAAAACTATTTTTTTAACCAACAACCATCCAAACTTTTACACGTTTATCATTTTACACTTGTATTTTAACAATTTAGGTATATATTCTTAGGTTCTTAGATACATTTTTACCTCTTTTTATTAAATATTATAACGCTATATTAACCAACTTCCTTGAAGCGCAATATTTATCTTCCTACTAAACTCATAAAGTAGGTTAACATCGAAAAGCGTTCATTGGGCTTGAAAGCTTTTACTCATAAAATTCACATAGTAGATAAAAGGGCTTTTCAACTTTACAACTCCAGTTTTTTTGGCTCTTTTTGTTAAAGAATAATGAGGTTCATAAACACACAAATCCCTATTTCGAAAGTCTTTATAGTGGCGGGATATGGGAATCGGTCCTGTTCAAGAAAGTGTGAACAAATTGGATCATCTCCTTGGAAATAGGAAGAGATTTCCTCAATTTGTTTCTTTTTTAAGTTAAAGCAAGTGTACAAAGATTAGTTTTAACATCCGGTTTTAAATAACTCAATTGAGCTTATAGGTTTATCTTTTTATAATATATTATTTATAAACATTTTATATATTTATAAAATTGATTAGCTTTACAATTAAGAATACCAATATATCCATTTTTATTGATAATTTTAAAAAATTGTATAGTAATGTTTCCACAAAAATGTGTATTTACAAACAGTTTAAAATGATCTAATTTTATCAATTTACGATAACAATGAAAATCAAAAATAATTCGAACATTTTTATTCTCATGCTTAATGCACTGAATATTATGTACTAATATTTATAGCTTACAATAAAAGCCGAAACATTTCGTATGTTTTACGAATTTCTCAGAATACACATTTCTTGATATGAATAAATATAATATGTGTATCATAGCTTATTATATTATGCTCAAATATTTATATAATTTTAAAATTTTTATTAATATTTATATTAACCTTTTAGAGTTTTTATTAGATTTTTTATTACTAAAATATAAAAATAGCAACAACAAAAGATAACAAGTTTTGTTGATTTATATAAATAGAATATAATTGTAGAATGTTTTTGAAGAATTTATTTCTATGTGATAATTACTTACATTCACAGAGTTTATATCAGTTTTTTTCATAAACAAATATGAAAAATAACTAGTTATAATTTTTAAATATACATACGGATTACCGTCAAACAACTATATTCAGTGAAAGAGATAATTTAACTGTACAAATAGTTGCCAAGCAAATAGTAGAAGTTTTACTTGTCTTATTTTTTGTATATGCATTAATAAACAGCGGGCTGAAGTATATGTAAAGTAAGTATAATTCAAAGGATAATAAAGCTTAAATATGACATTGTTTATACATTATTTACTTGGATAAACATTTTATAGTTTTATAACGTTAAAGAGCATTTTAGCTTGACTGAAAATCAAATAATATGTTTCTTTTAAGTCAAAATGCATTGAAATATTTTTTTCAAGGATATATAAAAATATAACTAAAAACGTATAAAAATAACATTAATATCAGTTTTCTTTGGTCTGAAATACAATACGATTGAAAAAACAGTGTTAAAGGTGACTTTGAAATTAAGATCGCTGTCATATTATATGTAAAATTATATAGAAAATGTCATGTCATCATTTCCAAACCAACAGAACACTGTTTCTGTTCTAACATACGGCATTTGCAAGATTGCATACTTGCGGCTATTCTAGATGTAGAAGCCAACTCAGTTGTGCTAAATGAAACACCTTATATCATTGCAGTTTCAAATTATGCGTAAAATTAAAAGCATATTTCATAGCTTAATGTTCTATACCTAAGTTTTAGACTCTTTTGAGATATTTTTTAAAAAGGAATTTCTAAGGATTATTTTTTAATTTAAAAATCAAATTAATAAGTTAGGTATTATTGTTGCTCTGGCATAACCGTTTATTTACTTATAGTTTGATTTGGCCATAAATAGTATAATCGTATAATTCTTTTTTCAATATTTGTTAACGCCATTAAAGTATCAGCACTCTTTTGTGCAATAAATGGAGTGGGGTGAAAATTTTTTTATAATTTAATGAAATAGGTACTTTAATAATCATGATACACGATTTTCGTAATAAACGTTTTTAATAAATAAGTGGCAACCTACTATTTTTCTGTTTACATCTGATTTATACAGGGTGGGTCTTAAATAAGTGCAAATACTTTTAGGGGTGTTATATTTCGACCCCAGGAACACGTCTATGAGGTTTTTTTCGCAAAAAAAAAGATGTTGAAAATCGTGCATTTTCTTTAAAATTTTCCTGTTTATTTTAGAAAATTCCACACCTGTAATTTTTAACCAATCAAAACGTCTTTTTTTGACAAATCACCATGGCAACGGATAAATTTTAGTGAAAATTCCACACCTGTAATTTTTAACCAATCAAAACGTGCTTTTTTGACAAATCACCATGGCGACGGATAAATTTTAGTGAAAATTTTTTCCTTGTGGGTACCCAACAGCGAATTATACTGGACATTTTTTGACGTTTATAATGACAGAATGTCTTTTTGAGAGTCTGGTTTTTATTTGTTTACATGATAATTTTGATACATTTCAATTACAAAGCTGAGATGTAAGTTTGTAAACTGCTTCAATACGCTTGACTTCGATTTCCTAGTATTCGCGGGTGTCAACTGCTTAATCTCTTGGCGAATATTTTCTTTGCTTTTATGACCGAAACGAAACATTTTTTTTAAGCCGTGCCGCTTGACAGCTTCAAAACTGAAATAGTTTTTAGGTTTGGGTGTCACTTAGTTGTCATAATAACTAAATAATCAATTCGACCAAAAATCGAAAAATACATTTTAATTATTTAATTTTCAAACACACTTTGGTGTGGAATTTTCTTACCGAATACCACACGAAGTCAAATTAAATCCGGACATTTTTTCTCGCTCATGAATATTTTTAGAAAATTATCCCTCGTCTTCGACTCGGGATAATTTTCAAAATATTCATGAGCTCGAAAAAATTTCCGGAAATAATTTGACCTCTAGTGGTATTACTAGTGAAAACTTTTTATAACTTGCCTGTTCACCGCAAATTTTCCCACGGTATTACCATAGTAACGACTTTACTCCATGGTAACGACACTAAAAGTGATGCAAATACAGACAAAATCCGGAGGCTCTCAAAACTTTTTAATAATAAATATTTTTTTTAAGTTTCAAACTTGATTAACTCGGTTATTTTGGACTTTTTTGAAAAACGGTAGAAAGAAAATATGTTTTTTTTATCGAGTTCTACCAGCTTTGAAAATATTTGCACTTATTTAAAGCTTGATTTTCATGCATCCGTTGTCCGACGATACGTTGATTCGATATTAATTTTATTGGTTGAATTTAAAGGCTTCGGTTGGTTAACCGTTTCTAACCAATCGAAGTCGTTAAATTCAACCAATAAAATTAATATCGATTCATCGTATCGTCGGATAACGGATGCATGAAAATCAAGCTTAAGACTCACAGTGGGG